TTGTGTATATTCACACTGAAGGAGTGTATATACCTCTCCCGTGTGTCTATGGGGCCGGCCACAGCTTGGAGGAGCAGTGCGTGAGGACGGGTTGTGTGCGGTCAGGTGTCAAGTGTCTTCATTATCTGTCGCACGCAGGTATGAACATGTGACGTCACTGATATTCAATATAGTCTATATGCACACAGCTGTTTTTGTACATACTTTCATGCATAAATACACACTCGAGTGAATGTACACATATATACGTGCTCACGTTCCCTCACGAACACACACAATCACGTATCACATAGGAACCCAAGCACCCATCTGCACGCCCACGTATATACATGCACGCTCAGTACACAAATCCCACTAAACGGTGCTCTCGTGGGTTCCTCTTGAGCCACAGGTAACCTGTAGTGCTCTGGCACTACCGGGGACGTGAGGGTGCCAGTCTGACCGTCCCTGGCAGTGCCCCGGTGAACCCACACTACCCCCTAGGGAGACATTTGGCTGGGGAGTGCAACTTTCCAGCTCGTGGGGGGAGAGGGAATTAGTAGATGGCGGGGGAGACATAGCGAAGAAGGAAGGACCTTCGCTGGGAGCTTGCGGCTCGTCAGGGCAAGGTTGTGACCCTCCTGAGGAAGGTAGACCGTTGCTTCTGACGCAGTCGAGCTGCTGGAAGCTGCTACACTCCTCCAGTGACGCAGACGTTCCCTGCAGTGTGAGAATACGTTAGAAAAAGACTGCTGTATTTACGGTAAAAGAATACTGTATTTATGGGGACTGAGTGTATTACATACCACGACACCCACACACACACCCCAACACTCACACAGCGGAGATGGGGTCCAGGGCTGTGCTGGAGAGTGCCGGACCTCTCCTCCCCAACTCCATCCCTCGCCACCACCACCACCTCCTCTCCACCACCCCCAACACTGCCTGCGGAAAATCAGTACAAATTAGTTTAAGGAATGTGGCAACTTTTTATTAATATAACAACAACAATAATAATAATAACAGTAATGACGCTACTAAAGTAACTGATTATCATAGATTATTCTTTTTTCCGAAAACCCACTATAAAAATTATTGTATCCCAGGGTAGTGAACCCCTACATAATGTACCCCAGGGTAGGGCATCATAGGGGTAGAATACCCAGGGGTAGACTGAACCTCTCCTGTGGAGCATTTACTTCAACAACATCTCGAGTGTAAAACCCTGAGGTAAACACATATATGGATGATTGTATTCGGGCTTGACTAAAGACACGACAAAGCTGTAACTCCCATTAATATAACACGTTGATGCTGAGTGAACCAGGATGTGGCGAGTGGTCACACTCAGCATGCATGCTTACGGTGTGTAAACACATCACTAATCATACGGTAGAGCGACCATAGTAAACTTACCTCTAGGTAGAGCAACATCAGAGACAGAGGTCAGACATCTAGTCAGAAAGGCATTTAATACATATTGTTTGTTGTACATTCAGACAATCTCCAACATGTGTTGGTGGTTTGAGTAGATTTAACAACGTCCAAAGAAAGCATTTACCGCACTTAGCTGCGCTACGACTCTCCTTCACGAGAAGAAAGAAAGTTCTCACGACAGGAGAAAGTTTTCACCAGCGATAACCAGTTAATATATTAATAGATACACACAAAAAACACAATAGCGTGATACATCAAATGAACAAATCCACAATTGCCGTGACGAGGATTCGAACCTACGTCCGAGAGCGTAGTTAAGGCAGCGTCTGGGATGCTCTCGGACGTAGATTAGAATCCTCGTCAGGGCCCTTGTGGATAAGTTTATTTATAGATAAAATGTTTAACCAATAGACTATCAAAACATACAATTGCGTAAGCAGTTCATACATCTTGTAAATGAAGGATTAGTAACATAAAATGTTATTGAATGACTTAAACTTACTAATAATGACGTACGGGTTTCAGTAAGAAGAGCATTGTTTCACATAACTGCTTAAGTACAGCTTAACTTAAACCTAAGTACAGCTTAAGTTTGCAACAATCGAAAGTATTTTATATAATTTAAGTGTACAATAATGATAATAATAATATTACAGCAATAAATAATAACAATTGCTAATATAGAAGTCAATAAAAGCAATAATAATTCATAACACCATCATAGATCATTATGACAAAGTTCATAATAATAATTTTTTGCAACCTAATTCGAACGCACCGCACCACGCGCGCGCTCTCTACGCTAGTTGCAACATGGACTCCGCTCACTATGACAACATCTGCAAGTCACAAGTTGTAAATGAGTGACAAAAACCTGTACTTGCCCAGCCTCGGTAACGACACTCAGTAATCCCAGCTGAGAAGTGCGTGATTTATCCCAGATTTTATTGCACTATTAAGTTTTTTCTTATACCGCTTATGAGCCTAATGCCTCGCTTCTAGCCCATTTAACTGTGGATGGAGCCAAGTTAATGGGACGGAAATGAGAGGCTGAATGGTATGTGTGTGTGTGTGTGTGTACTCACCTATTTGTGTCTGCAGGATCGAGCATTGACTCTTGGATCCCGCCTTTCGAGCCATCGGTTGTTTACAGCAATGACTCAGGACCTATTTCCCTTTCATACCTAGTTTTAAAATTTGGAATAGAATTTGCTTCCACAACCTGTTCCATAAGTGCATTCCATTTTTCCACTACTCTCACGCTAAAAGAAAACTTCCTAACATCTCTGTGACTCATTTGTGTTTCCAGCTCCCACATATGTTCCCTCGTTCTGTTACTATGACGTGTGAACATTTCGTCTATGTCCACTCTGTCAATCCCCCTGAGTATTTTATAGGTTCCTATCATATTCCCCCTCTCCCTTCTTTCTAGTGTCGTAAGGCACAGTTCCTTCAGGCGCTCTTAATACCCCATCCCTCGTAACTCTGGGACGAGTCTCGTTGCCAACTTCTTTTTCTAGTTTCCTTATGTGCTTCTTCAGATGGGGACTCCATGATGAGGCGGCATACTCTAAGACTGGCCTCACGTAGACAATGTAAAGTGCCCTAAATGCCTCCTTACTTTGGTTTCTGAATGATGTTCTAGCTTTTGCCAGTGTAGAGTACGCTGCTGTCGTTATCATATTTATATGTGCCTCAGGAGATAGATTAGGTGTTACGTCCAAGCCCAGGTCTCTCTCGCGTCGTCACAGGTAGGCAGTTCCCCTTCATTGTGTAATGTTCTTTTGGTCTATCACTTAGTCCCATTTCCATAACTTTACATTTGCTCGTATTGAACTCCAGTAGCCCAAGATTACCAACCGATTGCCGGCGGGGGGATGGAAAAAGCCTCGGCTACCATCCTCTTTTGTCCGGTCGTGTTGGTCGAGCGGTTAAGGGATCCTGTACGCCAGCAGAGTGCTCCTGGCAGTATGGGTTCGAGTCACTTCTGGGGTGTGAGTTTTCAGTTATATATATATATATGTTTTGGTACATTAACATTTCTCCCCGTCAAACAGGTGTTTGACGGGGAGAAATTTTGTCTATATTATTTATATTATATATTAATTCAATAATCAAGAGATGTTTCTGGGACCTCTCACAGAAATCTCCTGGGAAGTATGATAACATTGGTTATCTCCTGAGAAGTATAATAACATTATTTATCTCCTGGGAAGTATGATAACATTGGTTATCTACTGGGAAGGATGATAACTGGTTATCTCCTGGGAAGTATGATAACACTGGTTATCTTCTGGGAAGTATGAAAACATTAGTTATCTGGGAAATATGATAACATTGGTTATCTCTTGGGAAGTAAGATAACATTGGTTATCTCCTGGGACGGATGATAACATTGGTTATCTCCTGGGAATTATGATAACATTAGTTATCTCCTGGGATGTATGATAACTTTGGTTATCTCCTATTAAGTATGATAACATTGGTTATCTCCTATTAAGAATGATAACATTGGTTATCTTCTGGGAAGTATGATAGCCAATGCTATCATATTTCCTAGGAGATGACAATATATATATATTTATATATATATATATATATATATATATATATATATATATATATATATATATATATATATATATATATATATATATATATATATATATGCGAACAAGCCTGAATGGTCCCCAGGACAATATGCAACTGAAAACTCACACCCCAGAAGTGACTCGAACCCATACTCCCAGAAGCAACACAACTGGTATGTACAAGACGCCTTAATCCACTTGACCATCACGACCGGACATAATGAGGTGATAGCCGAGGCTATTTGAACCACCCCACCGCCGGCACTCTGATAGTAATCTTGGGCAAAGCATTTTACCAAATCACCTACTTCTTTGGGGCACACGTGAGGAACACAAATGCGAACAAGCCTGAATGGTCCCCAGGACAATATGCAACTGAAAACTCACACCCCAGAAGTGACTCGAACCCATACTCCCAGAAGCAACGCAACTGGTATGTACAAGACGCCTTAATCCACTTGACCATCACGACCGGACATAATGAGGTGATAGCCGAGGCTATTTGAACCACCCCACCGCCGGCACTCTGATTGTAATCTTGGGCATAGCATTTTACCAAATCACCTCATCTCTTGGGGCACACGTGAGGAACACAATGATAACAAGGTGATGGTCCCCAGGGACAATATGCATAAAACATTAAAATTATCAGAGTCCGGCGGTGGGGTGGTTCATAACCTCGGCTATCACCTATTATGTCCGGTCGATAACATTGGTTATCTCCTTGTACAATACCACATTGCGTTGCTTCTGGGAGTATGATAGCCAGTGCATCATTTTCCTAGGAGATGACAATATATATATATTATATATATATATATATATATATATATATATATATATATATATATATATATATATATATATATATATATATATATATATATATATATATATATATATATATATATATATATATATATATATATATATATATATATATATACTGCTTAATGAAGACGATTCAGTAATTATGATAACTAACCATGTACATTAGGAGTCAATATAATCTTGAGAAATATATTAATAAATTAAAACTAAGTATTAATTAAATATATTCAAATATATAATTTTCTAAAGACAAACCCAGAGAATATTGAAGAAAAAATTATAGATTACTTCGAGGGAGAGGGAGTTATCAGGGGAAAGTGCCAAGCCATTACGACTATATAGCACTGGGAAGGGGTCAGGATAAGGATTTGGAATGGGACGAGGAATGGTGCCCAACCTCTTGCACGGTCGGGTATTGCATGAAGTGATACCGTCGCTCTATCACCCAGCCCAAGTGATTGAGTAGATTACTTCGAGATGAATGCGAGAGTGTAACTAATTACAAATATTTATACCACTACGTTAAAACAATCTTTCTGATGAACAAGATGCCACGAATGTACTTTGTAAATTTTTGGATCAGTTTATTTATAATTCTAAATTAAAAAGTATCCATATAAACTCTTATTTTTTCTCTAATATATATATTGGCTTACCGGTGGAGAATCGTATCAAAACATTTCACACACAAAAATATAAATGTTTTGAAATAGAATAACACAATGGGTTTAAAAGGATAATTGGTCTTGCAAATTTAACGATCAATTACGATGTAGATGATATTATTCATATTTTTTTATGAAATATGTAGTTGTATTTATATAGTAAAATATTATCTAGTCACTTTGCAATCAAGTTGATAATATTCTTATCGTTCTCAAATTACGCCTTTTGTAGATAGTAATTATTCAAGTAGATTTGTTAGTTAAGGTTTCACGAGAGTTTAAGTATCTTTGGATAAGATGCATAAGATTTCCTCTCATCCCCTTAACCATATTACTCCCTCTGTTAGGCACTGCTAGTCTATCTTTATCATATTATCAGAGTTTCTCCCATACTTTCCCAGTTTCCTACCTCCTTCATTCCCAGTCTCCTCCCCTGCACCTTAGCTCCATCAGTCTCTCTAGAAACGTGTGTCTAATGAAATAGATTACAAAAGTCTTTATTTTTTAAAGACATTGAGAGTCCCTCTCCTAATGTTTCTCCTCTCCTCTCTCAATTTTATAAACACATTCATCATGCCCCTCTCTTTCTCTCCCTAACTCCCTCACATCTCGTAATGTCTCTCCCTCTTCTAACTCCCTCTCTCCCTAATCTCCTTCCAACCCCAGCCCCCTCTCTCCCTCTATCCCCAGCCCCCTCTCCCACCACCAACCCCCCCATCAACCCCCCCTCTAGTCTGTTTGTAAACACCTGCATTAGTGCCAGAATTTATGCCCGCCGCAATACCTTTAAATCTTCGTTACGGATCGTCCAGCGCCTGGCTTTTACCACGCCCGGGAGATGGTAACAAATATTGGGCATTTTTCCTGCTTTCAACAATCACCAGAGTAGTTTGTGGTGTTGAGCATTGTGTCTCACGGGTGACCATGGGGTGGTGTGCCTGCCGCGGGAGGGGGGGGGGGAGAACTAGGGGGGGGGCACTCCAGGCAGTATGGGTTTGAGTCACTTCTGGGGTGTGAGTTTTCAGTTGCATATATGCCTGGGGACCATTCAAGCTTGTTCGCATATATATATATATATATATATATATATATATATATATATATATATATATATATATATATATATATATATATATATATATATAAGGTCAACAACCCAAGGTCACTTGGGTTGTTGGAATATTTTCCTAAAGTTTTATTGCTCTTTGTGTCTCTCTTTCTCCCACGCAAACTTCTCTACTGTTTTCTCCCTCTCTAATTTCTCTGCTAGGTTGGGATAGGATGAAGGTGTCTGGGTGGAGTAATCTCGTTAGTGTTGGACATGCCTGGGTGTAGGGGATGCCTGGGTGTAGGAGACGCCTGGGTGTAACAGATGGGTAGGGTAGATGCCTTTGTGTAGATGACTGGGTGTAGGAGTTGCGTGGGTTTAAATGTTTTGGAAGTAGAGGCTTGGATCTTGGACACGTCTGGGTGTAAGAGGTGCCCTGGGGGTTTAAGAGGTGCCCTGGGGGTGTAAGGGGTGCCTTGGGGGTGTAAGGGGATGCCCTGGGGGTGGAAGGGGTGCCCTGGGGGTGAAAGGGGTACCCTGGGGGTGTAAGGGATGCCCTGGGGTGTAAGGGGATGCCCTGGGGGTGGAAGGGGTACCCTGGGGGTGTACGGGGTGCCCTGGGGGTGTAAGGGGGTGCCCGGGGGTTGAATGTTTATGGCTGTGAGGGATTGACTAATGTTTTGGAAACTTATCGATTTGTGTTATCATAAAGGTATTATTGGAGTCCGGCCGCTTAAATTATGTTGTGTCTTCTTACTTTCTGTCAGTATTTTCCTCTGTGTTATTGTCTGTTATTTTAAATGTCTTTTGACCTGTCTACAGTGTTCTGTGTTTCTCTCTCAACTCACCTCCCTTCACCAGAATAATGTCTGGTCCTTTCTGCTCCTTCTGCTGCATGAACCCACCATCGTCTGGCGCTCTGGCCGCGCCTACTGCCTGGTCACCGTAGACGATCCTGGTAAGCGCGGGAGTGCGCCCGTGCGCGGCACGAAGGCGGACGCCCACCACTAGGGCGACACCGCACAGCACAACGCCCACTATCACGCCCACCACTGCGCCCATGACCGGCATGACCTTCTCCAGCTCGTCCCCAGAAGACGCCTCGGCCACCACGGCACTAGTGCGCTTCTCTGCCACGTCGATAGGCGTGAGGTGGACGAGGACAGTAGGGGGCGCCGAGCCCTGGGAGTTGGAGGCTATGACAGCGAGGAAGTACTCCTTGCCAGGCGTGAGGCCGGTCACGGTGAAGTGAGGCTCCAGTTGGTCTCTCAGAGCGGCCAGGACCGTCCCCGGGGGTCTGATGGCGGGGTCCCCGGAGCCCTGAGGGCTGGCAGAGGTCCCCTGGCGGACCTCGAGGGTGAAGGTCTGGGAGAGACCTCCACCCCAGCCCGCCTGGCACCCTACCATCACCTGGCCTGAGGCACTCACGTTGTGCCAGGCGCTGCAGTTGTTCACTGGCTCCGGCACTCCTGCGGGAACACCAGTGATCACATGTAGTTGTTTTAGTGCAGCTGTACAACAATTACACTACACCAACTAGTTGACCAAACAGCTGTACCACTTACCTAATTCCAATAGCTCGAGAATTATTCATAAATCTATAAATCGTAATTAATTGTTTATACTACATGTAATTTATTACTAAAATATTTAAAATAACTCATCAAGTCTTCAAAAGTTATTATCAATATTTATATACTCAAGAAATTGTCTTTTTAAATATATTATTTTCCACTGGGAAATGTTGAGGTCAGGTTGTGGGTGTGAGGCGAGGCCGCCCAGGTCGTGTCCACCAGCATGTTGTCCGGTTAGTATTTCTCTCAAGATCTTTTGGCCACAATATTATACCTTGTAAATGTAAAGTGAGGCGGGAAACTGTGGCCTCTTGATCTGTCAAGTTTATGTCTGGGTGTTGTTTACGTCTGGGTGTTGTTTACGTCTGGGTGTTGTTTTACGTCTGGGTGTTGTTTTACGTCTGAGTGTTGTTTTACGTCTGGGTGTTGTTTTACGTCTGGGTGTTGTTTACGCCTGGGTGTTGTTTACGTCTGGGTGTTGTTTACGTCTGGGTGTTGTTTTACGTCTGGGCGTTGTCTTCCGTCTGGGTGTTGTTTACGTCTGAGTGTTGTTTACGTCTGAGTGTTGTCTTACGTCAAGCGTCCACGGAGGGTTAGCTTTTTTACTTCAGGTCAAAGATGTTTGAAGGAAAAGGATTCCGTTACTGGGTATCACTGCCACATACTGACCTGTTGGCACCACATGGAAGACGCGGGTCTGCCACATACTGACCTGCTGGCACCACATAGAAGACGCAGGTCTGCCACAGACTGACCTGCTGGCACCACATGGAAGACGCGGGTCTGCCACATACTGACCTGCTGGCACCACATGGAAGACGCGGGTCTGCCACATACTGACCTGCTGGCACCACATGGAAGACGCGGGTCTGCCACATACTGACCTGCTGGCACCACATGGAAGACGCAGGTCTGCCACATACTGACCTGCTGGCACCACACGGAAGACGCAGGTCTGCCACATACTGACCTGCTGGCACCACATGGAAGACGCAGGTCTGCCACATACTGACCTGCTAGCACCACATGGAAGACGCAGGTCCGCCACATACTGACCTGCTGGCACCACATGGAAGACGCAGGTCTGCCACATACTGACCTGCTGGCACCACATGGAAGACGCAGGTCTGCCACATACTCACCTGCTGGCACCACATGAAAGACGCAGGGCTGGCGCTGGGCGTCGACTTCGTTGCGTCCCCAGCACAGGAGGGAGCCGAAGTCATGGTGCGTCTGAGGGGTGTAAGAGACCACGCTGGCCCCCGACGACCCGTGGATCAGCTCCGGAGGAATCTCCACGTAATCAGTGGAGGTGTTGAACGCCCACCGGAAACTACTGGCCTCGGGGTAGGCCTCCACTTGACAGCTGACGTTGACGGGCTGCTGACGGCTGCCCCCGTACACCCACTTCTGTCCCGGCGAGCACACCGGCGCGACTGCCGGACCACACAACAATTAATATTGAATTATTTCTTGATGCATGCCGGAGAGGGTGAGAGATCAGAGGACACAGGAGTTAGATTAACACATTAGAATATCATCTGCATAACAATCAAAATATATTCAGAACCTTGACGAAGATCCGGAGCTGCATTGGACCTCTCGACTTTAAAGTTTACTATAGAACGAGAAGTTCGGTAAACATTCAAATTGATCTTACAAGTATTTGCTATCTGTAAATCACAGGGAAGTGTTCTCTTTCTTGAGAACCAAACCACACACCAGAACATGAGGAGACGACGACGTTTCGGCCCGTCTTGGATCATTATAAAGTCGACTCTTACTTGTACAAACAGCAGTTAACAGAAATATAATGAACTAAACAAATTAGGAATAATCGTCAAATTTGTCCTTAAAACAATGAACTGCTTCAAGAGCCATGGGCTGACTGTGACCTGGCAGCAGCCCAGGGCTGACGGTGACCTGGGAGCAGCCCAGGGCTGACAGTGACCTGGGAGCAGCCCAGGGCTGACGGTGACCTGGGAGCAGCCCTGGGCTGACGGTGACCTATAAAAGTCCTCAAGCCCGGATGTAAAGGCCACCTGGGAAGATCTTCAAGTGGTGAGCCGAAGGTGACTTAAGGAACTTGTCAGGCATCTTACCTGATGTAATTATGGGATATTTGACCCAATATATTACCAAGGTCACTGGGAAGAGACACCACCTCAAGAGGCCATTCACTGAAATCTTGTGACCAACTAAACACTTTGAGGAAATATATAATATAATTTTCAATTAAATTTATGCCTTTTAGTCACTACAACAATAACAAATTTACAAACTAAGCGATTCACAGATTAATAAATTAACAAACGTTGTAGGTTCATAGACTAAAAGATTCACAATGTAACATATTTACATTTACATTAGTCCCATAAGTGCTGGAATTAACCGGCACTTGCGTTTGTAAGACTTGATCCAAGTGTCCGCTCTCAACACCCCAGGTGCCAATACTTCTCCTTTACTGGCACATGTCTCTTACTTAGGTAATCTTCGCCTAAGGTCATTCTCTCCCTCACACTAGACACTTTCACCTTCCCTCACACCTGACAACCCCTTCCCTCACTCCAGACAATTTCCCCTCACACCAGACACTCTACCCTCACACCAGACACTCTCCCCTCACACCAGACACACTCCCCTCACACCAGACACTCTACCCTCACACCAGACACTCTACCCTCACACCAGACACTCTCCTCTCACACCTGACACTCTACCCTCACACCAGACACTCACCTTCCCTCACACCAGACACTCTCCCCTCACACCAGACACTCTCCCCTCACACCAGACACTCTGCCCTTACACCAGACACTCTCCCCTCACACCAGACACTCTTCTCTCCCTGTTCTTACACTTAACGTTGAGTCTGAGAGTGTTGGAAGTGGCGGAGCCCTGGAGGTTCGAAGCTGAGCAGCTGTAGGTTCCTGTAGAGGCTCTGGAGACGCTCTGCAGGACCAGGCTCTGGTTGCTCTGTATCACGCCCCGGGGCACGTTCTGCTCTAGCTCCGAGCCCTGTAACACAACACAGTGTAGGCCTCGTGCTGACATACAGACTCTTGAAGTATTAGACAATGATGATGACAGACTGATAGACTCTCTCTCTCTCTCTCTCTCTCTCTCTCTCTCTCTCTCTCTCTCTCTCTCTCTCTCTCTCTCTCTCTCTCTCTCTCTCTCTCTCTCTCTCTCTCTCTCTCTCTCTACTAACATCAAGGTGCCACATGACGTTAAGGACACGAGGATTGGCTTCAATGTGACAATCGAAGTAGACATCGTCGCCTTCTCTTATCTTGTTCATGTCCATGTTTCTACCAGGCCGGAGGCGCATCCGTGGAGAGTCTGAGGGAGAGAGAATATATGAGAGTGTGCTGGGAAGAGTAGAGGGGAGAGAGAGAGAGAGAGAGAGATAAAAGCAATGTGATATATACAACAGGTTACCACTTATATGTATAACAAATCATTGAAAACAGAAAGGGGTTTGGTCGGCGGTTGGGGGGAATAAGAAACAAAGCAATAAGTCAAAGGTACAGGGGCAATATGCGAAATCGATTGTAGCAAAGAAAAAGCAAGAAAAAATTCAATCCTCGTAAATCCTGGAGTCCCACAGCACCTTTATCTTTCTCTCCCTTTCTCCTTCTCTCTCTCTTTGCTGCTCTCAATTTCACACTGCCCCCTGGCTTCAGTACACACCACTCCAATTCTCCTAATGAAATTTGCTCACCCATTCACACCTCTCTCTCGTAACCTCCACATTCACAGCACACTCTCACAGTTAGTCTCCACAGTATATACACCCTCTACACACACAGTCAGCCTCCACACACATACAGTCAGCCTTCACACACATACAGTCAGCCTCCACACACACACATTCAGTCAGCCTCCACACACATACAGTCAGCATCCACACACACACACACACAGGTCCCCCGCACAATCCTCATCACACAATGTCTCACAAGAAAGCCTCCTTTGATTCATGCTAAAGTTCTCGTGATACAAATTCAACTGCTTACTAATTGTTATCCATTTGTTTGCCCGCCATTGACTTCACCTGTGGCTGCTTGCCTTTGACTCCCCCTGTGGCTGCCTGCCTTTGAGTCCGCCCTGTGGCTGCCTGTCTTAAATTTCTCCACTTTCTACCTTGACTTTCTCCCTGTGTTTCTGAGGCTTTTGAATAAAACATTTTTATCCATCTCTTTTTTTTACTATTGTATATTTTTATCTGTGCCAATCTCTGTTTTTCGAAATTTTTGCCATTGTCTCTCTAGTCTGATATATGCACGTATTTATATTTGTCTGAGTATCTCTATATATATCTCTCTCTATCGGTCTATTTGTCTCCATACCATCTTTCTCTTTCTAGCTTTATGCCTCCCCCTTCTCCCTCTTACATACATACATTGCTGGAATATGTCGACTTTCTGTTCAAATCATCTGGTAGTCAGATACAATAATTACATCAAATAGATTTAGACTATGCCAATATATATGTTCAAATATGCAATCACTAAATTCATATTGTAAGAGAGAAATTGAAGACAAAATGTAATGCGGTGTGATGACACTTGGAGAAGAGAGAGAGAGAGAGAGAGAAAGAATATATATGGGGGGAGTGTGAGTGTGAGGGAAGGATGTTAAACACAATTAAGCAACATAAAAGGGTAAATAAAACATTTTGAAGAGGCGTGGAGAGACTCACAATAAACCAGGAGCTTGCGAGAGTCCTCTAGAGCGGAGGCTGCCTGCACCCTGGGGTTCTCAGCTCTGCAGGAGACGACGGCTCCGTCCTGCCTCCTGCTGGGGGAGAGTTGCAGCGTCGACCTGCTCACGTTGCCCTTCTGCAGCACCTGTCACACCCGAGGCTGCTTCAACATCCCCTTTACATACTGAACATTTGACTCACCACTTTAAGCCAACTTTCAATATAAGGAAATAAATAACAAATATTGATATTTCTGTTGTAAAGTGTTGACTTTGACATACATGAGAAGGACATCTCACGTTCATCAGAGATTATCTGTTGCGGGTTACAATTATTTGCCGTTTGAGGTCCAGCCAAAATAGAACAATTTGATAAATGTTCTTGAGCATGAGAATAAGAATGACAAGAAAAATTAGGGGAAAATGAGGGAAACAAAGAGTGGTGGCACACCTAGATGAGGCACAGGTGTTCACTAAACACTTTGTAAATATAAGGCAATGGTTATCTCGGTCAGCTTCGGCCTCACACACGTGGGGTCCATGGTTCGAGTGTCCTACAGCCCAGGTGAAGGGAATGGTTATGTGCCTCGCAAGTGACCCGAGAAACAGTAGTCTGAGACGGGGCTGCTCGGAAGTGAAAGCAACTCTAAATGGGAGGCGGTAACTCAGAGGGGGAGAGCATCTCTGAGGGGAAGTCAGCTCTGGAGACGAGGCAGGGCTGAGGGCAAGGTGAGATGGATAGGAGATGGCTCTGAGGAAAAGGCAGCTCCGAGGGAGAAGGCATCTTTGATGACAAGGAAGGTATCTCATGAGGGAAACAGCTGTGGTGGGAAGGCAGGTCATTAATTCGTCAAGAGAAGAGACCCATCGGGTGGACACCTCACCAATATATCACAAGAAACATAACCAGGATAACGTGCGCCACCAAACTTTCGAACAACCTTCAGAAATCAAACAAGAAGTCGTTTAAATATTACCGAGTTGAGATGGATTCTATTGATAGTTTTCATTCATAAGTGAATGAAGACTATCAATAGATTCCTATCATTAGAAGACTGTCATTTATATAAATTAAAAAACTTTTACTAGAGATATCTTTATATTAATTATCAAATACTGATAATTATAATTATATGCTGCTTAGTAAAATTAAAGAACGTTCATTATATCATGATTATAAGTGGAACAAATTAAAATAATTTCTTGAATTGTAACATTATTAGACACATAATAAAATAAAGTAAATTATGAATAACATAATTTGACTCAGAAATCTAAAGAAATGCATAAATTTACAGAAACTTGCACAGCCTCAGCAGTGTAGACCATCACGGAGTAGATGATGATAGTACTGGAGGTTTCTCTGCCGATGGTACTGGAGGCCATCAGCAGAGAAAGGACTATTAATACTGCCTCTACCTCAACAACGGCGTGACTAGTGATGATGGAAGCAGACAGACACTACATAGGTGGACTCAGGTCACATACAAGAATGTACAGAAGAATATATTCAGTTTATGAGAAGCAAAGGAAGGGCTAAAGGAATGAGTACCGGAGACCACAAGGTGCAACTGGAGGCCAAGAGGAGGTACTGGAGGCCAGAAGGGTGAGCTAGAGGAAAGAAACATACGGCAGATATTCGCCATTAAATTCTTCTGATGTATATAGAAAAAATACACAAGATGGTTGGAAACCATTTCACCAGACCAGATTGCTTGATAATAGGACCCAGATCCCAGAAGACTGAGCTTAAAACACACACACACACACACACACACACACAGAAGATATGATAGAGCTCAGTAGGCAATGGAACCTGTACATTAGTTGATTGACAGTTGAGAGGCGGGACCAAAGAGCCAGAGCTCAACCCCCGCAAGCACAACTAGGTAAGTACACACACACACACACACACGCGCGCGCAGGGATGTCAGAAAATTGTTCACTGTAAGGACATTAAGGTGTCAACAGGTGGATTTGCTTAAAAGAATAATTAGATGAACTAACTCTCTACACAACTTTAAATATAAATATCAGAAAAAAACAGGGGAATTGAGCTGTTGCATTAATCTGAGAAATGTTGGGAATGCGGGTCTAGAGCTGAAGACCAACTCTGATAAAACATCTGAGAATATTAAAGCAAGTTCACACCCATTCAAATACACTTAAATATCAATAGCTTCATAAAAATTCTAAACACACAAGAACCATAAACTTCAAAATACCAGAAATTAAATATCAAATATATGCACAGAGAGCAATAAGAGTAAACGAATTATTTTATATACAGTTTTTTTAATTTTTGATTTCTCAAGACTTCATTATGCTCAAAACTGTAATGTTTAATGGAGGTCCCGTGTTGGTGCGGACAATGATTGGAAGTGGCTTGTTCCCTGGTGCATAAATATTTGTGGACGGGCGGGGAAGTAGAGAGAGAGAGAGAGAGAGAGAGAGAGAGAGAGAGAGAGAGAGAGAGAGAGAGGAGAGAGAGAGAGGGAGAGAGGGAGAGGGAGGGAGGGAGGGAGGGAGGGGGAGGGAGGGAGGGAGGGAGAGAGGGAGGGAGCGAGAGAGAGAGAGAGAGAGAGAGGGAGAGAGAGAGAGAGAGAGAGAGAGAGAGAGAGTGAGAGAGAGAGGGAGGGAGGGGAGTGAGAGGAGAGAGGAGGGAGAGAGAGAGAGAGAGAGAGAGAGAGAGAGAGAGAGAGAGAGAGAGAGAGAGAGAGAGAGAGAGAGAGAGAGAGAGAGAGAGAGAGAGAGAGAGAGAGAGAGAGAGAGAGAGAGAGAGAGAGAGAGAGAGAGAGAGAGAGAGAGAGAGAGAGAGAGAGAGAGAATGAATTCTACTGGACACGACGGATCGACCGCCATGAGCGACTTTCTCTGCATTAGAGAGTGGCACAGCTAGAGACAAGAGAGAGGCAGAACTCACCTGCATACTGGTGGAGGTGGTGGAGGTTAGGACTCCGTTGATCCACCAGGTGAGGTTAGCTGGAGGTCGGGACCCAGTGGCCTCACACACCAGGGGGTACAGCCCCCCTTCCCTCACGGCCGTGTTGTTCCCCACTAGTCGCACCTCCAGTGGGGGGACTGTGGGAGAGAGAGAGAGAGAGAGAGAGAGAGATGGTGAGAGCGGGAGGGAGTGGGAAAAAGAGTGGGAGAAAGGGAAAGTTAGAAAGGGAGAGCGAGTGGGAAAAATGGGATAGGGAGAGGGCGAAGTGAGAGAAAGGACAATATAATGAAAGAGAGACAGACAAAGAAAGAGGTAAGCCGAACGCGAGGAAGCTGGAATACCTCTGAGGAAGGTTTAACAAACTATAACATTATATTCACCTGGAAATTGTCGGTTTTTATGTTACAGGTCACATTACAGGTCATCATTCCACAGGTCTCATTACAGGCCGTATATTACGTGGAAAATTAATGACATTACAGGTCAAATTACAGGACGTACTGCAGGAAAAATTAGTCACGTTACAGGTAACATTATTGATCCCACTGCAGGTCATGTTACAGGTCATATTAGTCCAGATAACGGACCGGATAACGGGTTACATTACAGGCGTAATGACTACATACATTACAGACTAGGGAACAAAACACTGGTGTACAAATGGACGAAATATATAACAAAGGAGATATTAATGGGGGTAGTAAATATATTAACACAAAATTTAACATGAAACGATGGATACCAATTTGATAAGAAAATGTAAACATCTCGAGGAAACGGCAGAAGGGCAATTGGCCAATTCAAGGAAGTTCCTATTTTTACCCAACCTAACTCACTCACACTTATGACCTATATGAGCCTGTAATATGACCTGTGACCTGACCTAATACATGGGTTAGTAACCTAAACTATACTAGGCGCACATACTGGTACTTACAGGTCATATCGAGGGTCACGGAGGCAGCAAGAGGGGCAGTTAGGTTGGAGTTGCTTGCTCGACAGGTCAAGACCCGGTGCAGGTGCTGCCTGGTCAGGTTGGGCAAGGTCAGCAGGTTATGAGTGACCTGACCTCTGACCTCGTCCACCACGCCGTCCAGCAGTGACCCTTCGTGCCACCAGGTCACCTCGGGTCGTGGAGATCCTGGTGTGATACATGGAAATCCGACTGAAATACTAAACAATACAGTAAAATAAAGTGAACAAGAACGCAATACAGTGACCAAAATAAAGCACAGTACATGTAAATATAGTACAGTGCGGGGAAATACAGTACAATTTAGGGAAATATAATACATTACAAGGATATCCTGTTCAGTACAAGGAAATACAGTACAAAACGGGGAAATAGTGAAAAATAAAATACAAAGAAATACAATGCAACACAAGGAAATACAATAAACGAAAATACAGTATAATGCAAGAGAACACAGAACAATAAAAATAAATTCAGTACAAAAACAAATCCAGTTCAATACGAACAAAGCAGAATACAAAGAAATTAATAAACACAATATAATATTAACTACCCAATACAGCACACCACAATACAACACCACTTATTACAATACGGTATAATACAATAAAAAGCAAAACACATAAAAAACAATACAGTCTAACACATTGCATTATAATTTGAAAAATTTAAAATTTGAAAGTTTGGGTGAATTTTGTTCATCAGTGTTTGAATATATAGGAGAAAAGCACAGATTTAAATTTATTTATATAGATTAACAGCTGAATTATCCGCCATTTTCCGTGTAAAGAACAGGCTATATGCGCCCATTAAACCTGATCCAAAGCATTCATCATTAAAGGCGGAGCCCCAGAGCTGAGATCTTATATAGCTTAAGACCTTCTCTGGGTTAAATAGCGAATTCATGAAAATTATGGATGAAGGCTGCTCCTCGAGGGGCCATGATGTAGTTCTCGTAGATGTTAGTGACCAAGGTGGGGCCATGATGTAGCTCGTAGATGTTAGTGACCAAGGTGGGACCATGATGTAGCTCACGTAGATGTTAGTGACCACGGTGGGACCATGATGTAGCTCTCGTAGATGTTAGTGACCAAGGTGGGACCATGATGTAGCTCTCGTAGATGTTAGTGACCAAGGTGGGACTATGATGTAGCTCTCACGTAGATGATAGTGACCAAGGTGGGACCATGATGTAGCTCTCGTAGATGTTAGTGACCAAGGTGGGACTATGATGTAGCTCTCGTAGATGCTAGTGACCAAGGTGGGACCATGATGTAGCTCTCGTAGATGCTAGTGACCAAGGTGGGACCATGATGTAGTACTCACAGGAGTTTATGAGGCGGAAGGAACTATTATGTACCACTTGCTGGAGTTTATGATAAAGAAGGACCCGTGACGAAGCCTTGTAGGCATCTTGGACAGCAAGAACCGGAGTTCTGCTTCTGGAAGACGTCTTTGGCAAGAAAACACATTTATAACCGGACTTAAAAGTTGTGTAAAATGCTGAGACCTCAATGATGTTTTATGTAGTGGAAAGAGGAACGATAAGTAATAAATAAATAACAGAATGAGCATGAAAAGACGAAGACTAAAAAGAGGCAATATCCCAGAGAAAACGGGACAAGGAATGAGTGATTGGACTCCAGGAGTGAAAAAGCATGTGATCATAAACTCCGACTGCTCCTTCCTGCCTGAAATTCTGATATGTCTGTGTTGTTTACCCCTTCTGTTTCTCCACCCCCCCCCCCTCTCTCTCTGTATCTGTCTCTCTCTCTCTCCTTGCCAATCCATGGGTCGAGCACAGCTGAGGTGGATAAAGAAATCTGACATATATATGTAGCTGCATGGGGCTCTAGCTGCCACCTGCTACGACCTCTCCCTCACGCCATGCACCATCATCCTCCATCTTGCTGGGTCTCTTCCATCTTGCTGGGTCTCCTCCATCTTGCCCGTCTCTAGCTTCCCGGAATTGTTCCCTCTTGTTTGGCTTTCTGCATCATGTTGGGTCTTCTCCATCTCGCTGGGGCTCTTCTCATCCTGTTAAGTCCAGTTCATTCGACGTGTTCCGTCTAGTTTATTCGACATGTTCAGTCCAGTTCACTCGACATGTTCAGTCCAGTTCACTCGACGTATTCAGACCAGTTCACTCGACATATTCAGTCCAGTTCACTCGACGTATTCAGACCAGTTCACTCGACATGTTCAGTCCAGTTCACTCGACGTGTTCAGTCCAGTTCACTCGACGTGTTTAGTCCAGTTCACTCGACGTGTTTAGTCCAGTTCACTCGGCGTGTTTACTACTCGTACACTGAATGAGTGCTTCCTTAAAGCACCTTTGCTCAAGCGTTCACTAAGTTTCCAAGTGTTGCTTCACACTCGTATTTTCTTTGACTGGATTAATTATCTTTGTTTATTTTGTAATTTCTGTGTATTATGTTATAATATCTCCTTTGGGTTCCTCTTTTCTTCGTCATGCTGTCTCGTCTCTTTCCCCCTTCCCTGGTGAGGAGGCCTGGTCGACGACCGGGCCGCGGGGACGCTAAGCCCCGGAAGCACCTCAAGGTAACCTCCCCCTTTTCATCCCTCCTCCTCCTCTATTAACTTCTTTCCCTCCATCACCCCTCCCAGGCATTCATCCCCCACTCCCCTACCAGCCTCCCTCCCCACGACTCGATCCCCATATCGCTCATCCCTATCCGCTACCCCCCACCCCCTCCCAGCACACCCCCCCCCCACAACAAACGAGCCTTCACCTCGGCTGCGGCAACATTTGCACTGCACACTCCTTCACTGCACCACCAAATACTTTCTCCATCCTTCTTTGCCTCCAGATTTCCAGAACAACACCTTCCATTTCCTCTTCCAGAACAACACCCATTTCCATATTATCAACAACACTCTCCCTTATACACTTATAACAAATCAGTTTTTAAAATCTAAGAGAACAATGATGGGAAATATCATGAGGAATAAAAAAATAATGTAATTGAGTTGTATAATGATCGAGATTTTAAAATAATGATTGAGCCAAAAAGGAAATAATATTTGAAATACCTGTTCCTGCATCAGTCTTTTTTTTGTATTTGGGTCCAAAACTGAGCGACACGTCGTCGTTCCTGTCATTTCAAGTCACGTGTGTGGGTTGTTTGTGCTAGCCACGATGTGTTGGCACTCTGCATTGGGTAAAATTAAATTGTCTTTGTTTACGGTTAATCTCATCTCTATCTATAAAAGGAAGATGTCTGTGTACAAGTTAGTGTGAGGCTGGAGGCCAGACGCCTAGGGCTAGCCTCGTCCAGCTTTGCATGGTGACTAGCATGGGGTAGGTGGGAGGGGAATGGGGTTAGGTCCGATTGCTTCCATTACAAGGAGAATGAAGTTGGTGGCGGCTCAGGCACCGGGAGGACCCAGTATCCACCAAGTTCAAAATAGTCGCCCAGAGACCGCTACTAGCCGCTCCTAGTCGCTCCTAGCTGCTCCTAGCCGCTCCTAACCGCGTCGTGGCTTGTGTTGACATCTATTGGATGTTCCCCACAGCAATATATTTTGTGATTTATTAACGTTATTTCTAATAATTGTTTTTGTTTTACTTATTTCCTTTGGTCAATATAATTGTGAAAAGAATTTCTGCAATATTCTCCGGCAATAAGTTAAATAATTTGTTTTTATATAATTTATAAAGTGATGTAAATAAGAAACTAAATTCAGCACAAATGTTGCATGTTTAATCCTCATATTATTCGGCTTCTCCCCCTCTTGCTCTTATCTCTTCTGCTGCTTCTTTGTCTCCTCCTCCTGCTGCTGCTGCTGTTGTTGCTCCTGCTTCTCCTTCTCCTCCTCCTGCTGTTGCTCCTGCTTCTTCTCCTCTTCCTGCTGTTGCTCCTGCTTCACCTCCTGCTGTTGCTCCTGCTCTTCTCCTCCTCCTGAGAACATTAGAACATAAATCTGAAGCAGGCAAATCATCACTAGTCAGAAAGTTGTTGCTGATATCCAACGACTCACTATTCTGTCCAACTGATGCTGGAAACTTTCCAGTGATGTCGCTTTTGTGATGTGGCTTGCTACCCTATCCCACAGCTCTCCACCCCTTTACCATGAAACAAAGTTTGTCTCTTTAATTTTTAAACAAACTCTTATTCTCCTCGAAATCATCATTCAGGCCTCTATTTTGAGAATAAATTATTAGCCCTATTTTCACTTCCCTTGATAAATCTTTGTATCTATGAACTTGTATCTTTGTACTTGTATCTATGTATTGTATCACACACTTTATTTTTGTCCCTTCTTTCAAGCGAGAGTAAATTAGTGTTGTCTTCTTTCGCGGGACTAAGCAAATGTTTATAGAATTGCTAAGTCATTCTTCTTTGAGAACTTTGCAGAGTTCACGAGGACTCTACAGTAGAGTGCAGGCACTGTGCTGCGTCACCCAAGGGGTCTGGGTGACGCAGCCAAACATAGACATGTGTACCTGTCTATGTGAGACATGTGTACCTGTCTCACATAGAGAGGAACACTTGAACCATAACATAGGAGCTTTTATTACAAACTTCACAATATTCATCTTCTAGTACCACATTAGTCTAGTTGAACAATGTATGCATTGCTACTTTTTTCTTTTAGACCCTTACAAATTGTTATTCTTAGATTCTTTTCAGTAACTGGTTTATCAGATACTCCTGTAATTCATCTTTTACTCTCACTTACTCTTCTGCTTCTTCTTATGTCTCACATTTTTATCTTCATCTTGTATTACTCTCCTGTTCCTGCCCTCCTCATTCCCCCTTCACTAGATGACGTCAGGACTCCTGCTCGCGTGACTAACAAGGCTAAACAATAGAAAATCAGCACCATATTGGCTTCTGATAATCCAAATTACTTACAGACCCAATGTTTACAACGTGTACGTCGAAACCTTATTTCCTCTCAAATCATTTTCTTATTCAATGCTGTCTGTCTGTCTCTTTCTCTCACACTTGTTATTTGAAATGTAATATTCATATTATATATATATATATATATATATATATATATATATATATATATATATATATATATATATATATAATGTATATATATATATATATACATTATATATATATATAATGTATATATATATATATATATATATATATATATGTCGTACCTAATAGCCAGAACGCACTTCTCAGCCTACTATTCAAGGCCCGATTTGCCTAATAAGCCAAGTTTTCATGAATTAATGTTTTTTCGTCTACCTAACCTACCTAACCTAACCTAACCTAGCTTTTTTTGGCTACCTAACCTAACCTTACCTATAAATATAGGTTAGGTTAGGTTAGGTAGGGTTGGTTAGGTTCGGTCATATATCTACTTTAATTTTAACTCCAATAAAAAAAATGACCTCATACATAGAGAAAAAGGTTGCTTTATCATTTCATAAGAAAAAAATTATAGTAAATATATTAATTCAGGAAAACTTGGCTTATTAGGCAAATCGGGCCTTGAATAGTAGGCTGAGAAGTGAGTTCTGGCTACTAGGTACGACATATATATATATATATATATATATATATATATATATATATATATATATATATGGGGACACTCCTTTTTTGTAACAAAGTTCAAATAAAGTAAATATATACGTGTACATACAAAAGAATGGGGGTGGTAGGAGAAGATAATATTAGTGTTCAGTGAGAAACCACAAGGTCTCCTCTGAATACTTTTTATTTTCTTCTCCGAGGCTATGGGTCCCCACATTGGCACCAGAGGTGGTACCCTCACAAACTTATATATATATATATATATATATATATATATATATATATATATATACCTGCTCATATACCCAAGAGTAGTGTAGAAGAAAGACTGTATAAATAATTTTTGAAGCGGATCAAACGCCACTCGTGCAACGGGTATTGAATAGAGCTGAAGGCAGCAGCCTCACTTTCCATCTGCCTGTCAGTCACCATGATGTCTGCCTCGTTTGATGTCTGTTGTCTGTCTTGTAAGTCTGCAGGACGGGTTTTATCTTGAGTGTTCTTGCGGAAATTGTTCTTCATCTTCTGAATCCAGACTCTCACTTGTTAGACCATTCAACAACTTAACGTTCTGATGGTGGAAATGTTCTTATATATGTACTTTTTAGTCATGTGTCCCTGTCCCCTTGGTCGCTCCTATATGTCTTCCCTCGTCCTGGTCTCTTCCACGTGTCTCTTTATTCTGGTTCCCTTCATGTGTCTCATCATCTGGTTCCCCCCCATGTGTCCCCTCGTCCTGCTCTGTCCCCATGTGTCCCCTCGTCCTGCCCTGTCCCCATGTGTCCCCTTCGTCCTGGTGCCTGGAATGTGTCACCTGGTCCTGGAATGTGTCACCTGGTCCTGGTGCCTGGAATGTGTCACCTGGTCCTGGTGCCTGGAATGTGTCACCTGGTCCTGGTGCCTGGAATGTGTCACCTGGTCCTGGTGCCTGGAATGTGTCACCTGGTCCTGGTGCCTGGAATGTGTCACCTGGTCCTGGTGCCTGGAATGTGTCACCTGGTCCTGGTGCCTGGAATGTGTCACCTGGTCCTGGTGCCTGGAATGTGTCACCTGGTCCTAGTGCCTGGAATGTGTCACCTGGTCCTGGTGCCTGGAATGTGTCACCTGGTCCTGGTGCCTGGAATGTGTCACCTGGTCCTGGTCCCCCTGATATGTCTCCTCGATGTTTAATGGAAGTGTTTCCCCTTTATTGCATATCGTCCTGTTGGCATCCTATCCCCTCTTTTTCATTTTACTTTGCACTTTCTGGTATTGAATTCCTGTAGAAATGTCTCGCACCATCGCTACAGGTTCAAGAACTAGAACCTCTTAATTGTTTACCATTCCCCTTTTCCTACTATTTTTGTATTAGGTGTGCGTCAACCCTGAACTTGTTGTGGGACTCTGCCTCGATGGTTGGATCATTGATGTTGACGAGGACTAACTAGTGTAGGTCCCAGGAGTCATCCTTGCGGTCATCCTCCTTGTTCCTTTATGTTGGGAGTTCTCCACACTCAGTGTGACTTGTGTAGTTGTGTTTGTTCAGTACTGTTCACCCCTTACTGTAACTCTCTGCTTCTTGTGTGTGTGTGTGTGTGTGTGTGTGTGTGTGTGTGTGTGTGTGTGTGTGTGTATCTTGGTCAGCCTGCCAGGTTGTCAGTGGCTTCTAGTTGTTAAACTCTTCATTTACTGACATAATCAGTCACGCGACTGCCACTCGTGCAGCATTCTCCACAACGGGCGCCTTGGTGCACAACACGCTGACCACAGTTTAGGGGTCTGGTGGGTGAGTACAGAGCGCTCGGGACTCGTAATCCCAGGGTCTGGGGTTCGATCCCCGGCGATGGCGGAAACAAATGGGGCATAGTTTTTTTCACCCTAATTGCCCATGTTCCCCTAGCAGTAAATAGATACCTGGGAGTTACACAGCTGTTACGGGCTGTTTCCTGGGTGTATGTGTGTGAAAAAAATGATTGACAGTTGAGAGGGGGGCCGAAAGAGCCAGAGCTCAATCCCCGCATGCACAACTAGGTGAATACAGTGTCACGAATACACCCCGTGATGTCGCTCAGCATGATGATGCTCAACACCGCATTCGTTAATATTACGAATGACAAATAATTACGCAAATAATATTACGCTGACAAATATATTATAACACAAATTCATTTCGTGTTATTTACTGTAAGAACGACGTATAATTTGTAAATAATTGGCTGATATTATATTAAATTTGTTTACATTACCAACATTTAATTTAAAAATGCGTTTGGTCTTCCTTGTTCATTAGAAATTAATTAAGATTTTTGTAATAATTCATTTCCTTATTTAGCATAACAATTATAAAGAGGAAGGGAGGGTGGTTCCGTTCTGAGGCAACTTGACCGGTAATCCGGATTGTGAGAGAGACTTACATGGTATGGCTTGACAGGTGAGGGAGGGACTAACCTGTCGCAACTTGACAGGTGAGGGAGGGACTTACCTACCATGACCTGACAGGTGAGAGAGAGAGAGGGACTTACCAGCCGTGACTTGACAGGTGAGAGAGAGCGTGTCCCCGAGAGGGTAGGGACCAATGAGTCCGTTCACCTGGCGACCCGAGACGTCCAGGATAACCAGGTGACGAGGGGGATCTGCATGTCAAATATGAAGGTGAATATTTATTGAATTATTAGTACATAGTTTAAATTTATTTATTTCGTGAATTATCAATGACATTGGTGACTTATAGATTATATGATGAATGGACTAGAGGGTTCAGTTCCTGAACCGATTATGTGCCTCTGTAATCCTTTACACCACCGCCCACGGGATGGGTATGGGGTGCATAATAAAGAAAGAAATTGAGAAATTGAATTGATGAATGAACTGACATTTTGGAAAATTATATATATATTGAGAGTGTGAATTATTTGTATTATAGACTCGTTTTCAGGGGATTACATATATATTGTAAATTGTTGCACTATTTATCAACAATTCAAAATTTATTTGGCTGCCTGAAATATATATATCATAGGTACATAATTATTTGTACAAATAATTTGATAAACACTGCAATATTACCAATTGAATAGTAGATTATTCTCCCCAAGGATGGAAGTGCTCTCATATTTTGCTTTTGATTTATTTAACAACAATAATACAATATATACTAAACATGAACAAATAATTTATGTGGCAACACCTTAGGGGGATCGCCCTCCAGTACACACACACCCTTCAGTACACACGACAGCCTACACCTGCAGGTCTTGAGATGTGCCTGAACAATAAACAGTGACCAAGTGTCTAGCGATACAGGAGTCATTCATGATGAATAACTGATGCTGTCTCACCACGCTCTCTCTTATTAGTGAATACTTGCTCGTCTGGCTCATTATTATTATTATTATTAGTAGTAGTAGTAGTAATACTATTTTTAGCATTACTATTATTATTATACACAATACTATAATTGTTATTAATAAAGATAATAATAATTAAATCAACACTAGTCTTTAAAGCATTAGAATTGTTCAGCTGCAAAAATAATGCAATAACCGACAGCTGACTTGATTTAACGAGATGGCACAATCTCATTTTATCTCCCAACATTATGCCTATCTATTCCTCCTTCTATTTCTCCATTATCTCCTCCCGTCCATCTCCCCCATTTATCCTAAACCCTCCCTTCCTAACCCTCGCTCAGCACTCACCTACAACCCGCAGCTCGACACCAACGTTCCTGGTCGGGGAAGCTACGAAGTCGACCCGACAGCGGTAGAGGCCCTGGTCGGCGGGGGTGACGTGGCTCAGGACCAGACCAGACGGAGAGGCGGCCGAGGGGGTCATCCTGAAGTGCGCTCGGCCGCCCAGGTCAGACCAGTGCTCGGACCGCTTCTCTGGCCCCGAGCGGGCGTCGATGCTGTTAGGGAGATGCATGGAAAGGTTGGTCCGAGAGAGAGAGAGCGAGAGAGAGAGGGAGAAGGGAAGGGAACTATGAGGGGGGAAAGCGACAAGCCATTACGACTATATAGCACTTGGAAAGGGGTCAGGATAAGGGTTTGCGATGGGAGGGAAGGTATAGTGGCCAACCACTTGGACGGTTGGGGATTGAACGTCGACCTGCATGAAGCAAGACCGTCGCTCTACCGTCCAGCCAAAGTGGTTGGGCAGAGAGAGAGAGAGAGATTACAAGAAAGAAAACTTTCTGAAAAACTGGATGTGAAGAAATTTACAGACAAGGAACTTGGCACAAATTTTCAAGTTTTTAAACAAGTGACATAAATCAACTAACAGTAAATCACAAATGTCTATATTTTCAAGGTAGAGAACCAGGTTGGTGTCTCGGAGAGTCTTAACATAAGTGAGGGAGTACCTCTGAGGAAGAAGAAAGGGGACAGAGGAGACATAATCGCAACATACAAGGTACTGAGGGCAATTGACAAGGTGGACAAGGACCGCCTCTTTAAAGTGAGACCGTCGTGTTATAATGAGGGCGGAGAGATCAGTGAAGAGAGAGAACGAGTGGAGTACCTCAAGGGGCGGTACTAAGGGCTCCGTCTTATTCCAAGCATCAACGACTCGACAGAGGAAACTGACTCCTTTATATCAGTGTTTGCTATCTGTACACACTAAGGAAGATAACCAGAACAAAGGTGGACTGTGATATCCTACAAAGTGAATAAGACATTGAAGGTGGTCTGAAAAAGGCTACTGGTCTTTAACCAAGATGTTAAATGTTAAAATTACTATAACAAAAGCTATAGATGAATCATTGCGTGAAATAAAATGTTGGAAAGGCGGGGCTAGAAACTGGCGCTCGACCCTTCAAGCACGTCTAGGTGTGCACATGTAGGTGAGTACACACAAACACTCCAGCTATAAATAGGAGAAGTGGTGGGAAGGTGGAGAGTGCTCAGGTGTCTCCACCACCACCCACCATGGTGGTGGAGGGTGCTCAGGTGTCACCACCATCACCCCTCATGGTGGTGGAGAGTGCTCAGGTGTCACCACCACCACCCCTCATGGTGGTGGAGAGTGCTCAGGTGTCACCACCACCACCATGAGGGGTGGTGGTGACCACCCCTCATGGCGTAGATATAATTCCCACACTGTCTCCAGAGACACACATAAACAGGGTACCATTGGCAGCATATGGGACGCTGGCAAACATTAGACCGTCGTTTAGAAATCTAAACCAAAGCTCTTTCAAGGCAATCTACAGTCTTCGTTAAACCTATATTTCAATATGCAGCATCGGCCTAGAATCCACACATTATGAAGCATAAAACCATAATTTAAAAAAGAACAAAGGTTTGTAATAAGATTAGTGCCAGAGCTTAGAGGGCTGATCTGTGAGGATAGATTAAGGAAACTAGACCTCACATCCCAGGAGGAGAGAAGAAACTGAGGGGACATGATCACAACATACAAGGTACTGAGGGGAATTGACAAGGTGGACAAGGACCGCCTCTTTAAAGTGAGAGAAAATATGACGATTGGACAAGTGAAAGTTGGGAATGCAAATGATTCGAAGAATCGTAAGGAAATTTTCGTACCCTGTGTGGATGGTCCAAGAGTGGACCGCACTGAAAGAAGTTGTGGAAGCCACCTCCCTTCACAACTTTAAGCCAGACTTTACGAAGAATTCGAACGTCAGAACATTACAATTATGTCGCAACAGGTATAACAAGGCAAGTAGGCTGGGTATAGTGAGCTAAACCTCACTTCCCCCGTATTCATTGATGGGTAAATACTACCACCATCTCCAGTACTAACGTCACCACCACCACCATCATCACCAACATCACCACCTCCACCACCAACATCACTACGACTACCACAAACACCACCTCCATCACTACCACCATCAGCAACACCATCGCCACTTTCACCACCAACACAGTCACCTCCACCACCATCACCACCAACACCACCTACTCAACCTACATTGTGAAGCCCTTGCAATCTCCACTTCAACTGCACCTTTCCCCTTGCAATTTCTGACAGAGTCGTTACGCGTGACCAAACTACCGAACCACCGTTGTTGCAGGCTGTCATTGGAGTTGATAGACATCTTAAATGGCCCTGGGAACTCTTTGCGGGTTTAAAACACACAGGAGACCACGACTACGCTCCTCTTTAATTTAATTTTGAAGGAAGAAGTGTAATATTTCCAGGAGGTGGAGCGGGTGCAGCAGGCGCTGCTCTCAGCTTTGGCCGACTATTTAGTGTTGTGATTTATTCTACATGTGCTTGTCTGTCTATCTGTCTTTCTGTCTATCAGTCAGTTTGTCTCTCTGTCTTGGTCTATATAGTTTCATGTCAATATAATTATGTTTCTATTTTTGGCAATCAGTTGATATATATATATATATATATATATATATATATATATATATATATATATATATATATATATATATATATATATATATTTATATATATATATTTATATATATATATATATTTGTGTGCATCTGTTCTTCTTTCACTCAGTGAATTTATTTCTATGTTCTAATGTCAGTCTGTATTTCTTTCATTCTCTGTCAGACTCTTAGTTTGTAAATCGTCCATCTGTGTTAATGAATGAGTGTGAGTACATATCTAGATAGACTCGGCCATATGTATTTCCAGGGTCGCGCATGTATTCTAAAAAGGGAACACGATACCAACACAATATGTAGCACTAGTGACACAGTAAATAGAGGCAAAACATGTAACTTAAGCAGCAACATAAAGTGAGGACAGCGTAGAAGCTAGACATGCAAATGAGCCACAAGGATGTCAGGTAGAGCTATTTTATTGTAAGGCCGCGAGAACACGCACACACACAGGAGACAACCGGAATAGATGCAACAGGGCTTGGAACGAAAGGAGAGAGAAACTATGAAAATGATATTGCTTCCAAAGCAAGGAAACGACTATTGCATAGTCACTTAGGAAGGAAAGTGAACGTGAACGATTAAGTAACAAGGCTACAAAATGAATAAAGTGTAGGTGAATACACTGGGAATTTGCGAGGAACTAAATGCCCTTTTATATGAGTGTTCACAACTGTCCCTGAACAGATCCCAACACTAGAAGAGGAGGCAACCCTAGACGAGAAACTACTAAATACTGAAGTAATATCAAAGGAACCAACATGCATCATTAGACGAAACTGAAGCTATTCAAGCACGTTTATTGAGACAATACAGTACATCTCAAGGGGATAGAGTAGCTTACGCTATTTCTACCCTCTCCTGAAGCTATTGCACCAGATAATACTTAGATCGCTGTACACCGCCTGCGTGAGACCAATTTTAGAGTATGCCGACCCAACAGGAAACTCAAGAGCAGGCTATAGGAACAAACTCCATCCATAACTTTAAATGTAAGTATAACAGGCAAATAGGTCAGGAGTCATTGCAATAGACAACCGGCGGCGAGAAAGGCGGGATCCAATAGCTGGAGCTCGATTCTGCACGGACAATTAGGTGAGTACACGCGCGCACACACACACACACACCTCATAAACCCGTCATTACCTCATCACCCTCATCACTCCACATCAGTAAAACCAACGCTGCCATAAAGGAGAGTCTCCTTCCCAGGACACACCATAAAGACTGAACCAAGTCAGCCATAATTAGGAACTTAAGCCCAGAAGAACCGTCTTAGCCACAGACAAGAGACGGATTGGAGAGAGGAGGGTGTGTGTGGTAGTGGAGGGTTTGTGTAGTAGAGGAGAGTGTGTGTGGTAGAGGAGAGTGTGTGTGGATGAGTAGGATGTGTGTGGTAGAGGAGAGTGTGTGTGGTAAAGGAGTGCCGTGAAAACAGCAAAACAGAAATAGATGTACTCCAGAGGTGGCCTGAACAATTGTTCCTGGACCTAAACTGAGATTAATCCAAGATCATGAGGAGATGAAGAGAACTGAGAATCAGTGAGACAGCTTCCTATATCAGAGAGGCATCTATATCATATAACATCTCCGGTTGTTATATCACTAAATTAAACACCAGAGGAACATATTTATAGAATAACATCATCAATTCTCGCCAAAGAGGTGAACGTCCGCCTGATTTTCAGGAACTTAGACAAAGAAGACATCTGAACGTAATATACAACCTAGGTAAGACCAGCTCTTGTGCATGCAGCACCCATATGAAACTTTTTCCTGAAACAAACAGTTGATAAGTTCTTGTGATATGCATTAGTATTTGTTTCACATCTGACGAGGAGAACAGGACCTCATAGAAGACATGATTGCGACATATAAAACTTAACATTTTAAATGTGAAACAATAGGCTTATAAGCTACCTTTGGGAGCCAAGAGACGCGAAGTCAGAATATAATGAACTCAGTTCTTAAGTGTTGAAAATGCAAATAAACTATAAGGTATAGATAAAGAAGTCGTTGAAGTCAACTCAGCACACATTTTTATAATGCAATACAAAGAACAGAACGAGATATTAAAGGAATTAATATTTAATTTAAGTAATACATATTTAAATTTTTTCGAAATAGTACACACACACACCCACACCCACTCCCTCCCCACCCCCAAACACTCACCCACCCACCTACCTGTAAATGGGCATGCCTGTCGCCCCATTGTAGACCAGGACGAGGATGGGGTAGTCTCCAGGGGTAGGGGGCGAGACGTCACAGGGCAGGAGGACCGTGCCCCCCTCAATGGCAGCGGCCTCCAGCGACGGACCTGAGGACACACACACACACACGGAGGTCACCTCATGCTGGCACCAGTCGCCCCTCACACTTATATGTAAGTTCTTAAGGAGGACCAGGTCTGGCCTCTCATAGGTTATTGCGATTGTGAAGTTTGACCACAGCTGTTCAGGTCATGCCTACTCAGGTCATCCCAGGTCACAGCTACCCAGGTCACAGCTACACGGGCAACATCAACCCAGGTCACATCTACCCAGGTCACACCTA